TTTCTACAGAACTCCAATAGGCGGAGTTCAGACCTACAATAGGCGAAGTTTTTTTTTTAATATTTTGTAGGGACCTTAACAAGGCGTGGAGTTTTTAAGAATATTGTTTTTGGAGAAGAGACCTACAATAGGCGTGGCTTTTTTAAAAATATTTTTTTTGAATACCTACAATATGTACGGATTTTTTAAAACTGTTTTATAGAGACCTACAATAGGCGTGTTTTTTATATTTTTTCAAGGTTCTATAGAAGGCATGGATTTTTTTAGAAATGTTTTTATACCCTTCACCACACTGTGTACAGGGTATTATCTCTTTGTGCATATGTTTGTAACAGGCAAAAGGAAACGAGATAGACCCATGGTTCCTTTTGAGAATATACATAGAATCACTTTCTGAGTCGATTTTTGGATGTCCGTCTGTCCGTCCGCCCGCCCATGTATTTTTGTTAACAAAGTACAGTTCGCATTTATGATCCGATTTGGATGAAATTTGGCACAAGTCAGTTATTTGGCCCAAGGAAGAACCCTATTGAAATTGAAGAAAATCGGGTCAGATTTAGATATAGCTCCCATATATAGTTTCGACCGATTTTAGGTAAATGGTGCACCAAAGTCCCTGAGAATCATTCGATTTGCACGAAGTTTGGTACAGCGTACTGAATTAGGTCCAAAATGATGTGTGATAAGTTTCGTGAAAATCGGTTCAGATTTAGATATAGTTCCCAAATATATTTTCGTCCGATTTAAGGTAAAGGGTGCCGCAAAGTCCCTATTTATCTTTCGATTAGCACGAAATTTTGTATAGTGTACTGAATTGAGTCTTGAATGACGTGTGTTAAGTTTCGAGAAAATCGGTTCAGATTTAGATAGAGCTGCTGTATATTGTTTCGTCCGATTTTAGGTACATGATGCCGCGAAGTCCCTATATTACTTTCGATTTGCACGAAATTTTGTATAGTGTACTGAATTGAGTCATGAATGACGTGTGTTAAGTTTCGAGAAAATCGGTTCAGATTTAGATATAGCTCCCATATATATTTTCGTCCGATTTTATGTAAATGGTGCACCAAAGTCGCTATTTATCTTTCGATTTGCTCGAAATTTGGCATAGCGTACTGAATTAAGCCTAGAATGATGTGTGTTAAGTTTCCTGAAAATCGGTTCAGATTTAGATATAGCTCCCATATATATTTTCGTCCGATTTTATGTAAATGGTGCCGCAAAGTCCCTATGTAACTTTCGATTTGCACAAAATTTGGCACAGCGTACTGAATTAAGCCTAGAATGATGTGTGCTTAGTTTCGTGAAAATCGGGTAAGATTTAGATATAGCTCCCATATATATTTTCGTCCGATTTAAGGTAAATGGTGCAGCAAAGTCCCTAAATATCTTTCGATTTCCACGAAATTTGGCACAGCGTACTGAATTAAGCCTAGAATAATGTGTGCGAAGTTTCCTGAAAATCGGTTCAAATTTAGATATAGCTCCCGTATATGATTTAGTCCGATTTAAGGTAAATAGTCCACCAAAGTCCCTAAATTTCTATAGATTTGCACGAAATTTGGCACAGCGTACTGAATTAAGCTTAGAATAATGTGTGCTAAGTTTCGTGCAAATCGAATCAGATATATATTTTCGTCCGATTTTACATAAATGGTGCACCGAACTCCGAATGTTTGAATGACGTTATTGGGTTTTGTTGAAATTGGTGCAGCCGTAGCTTCCATATGTATTTCGATCGGGTGTCTGATTGAAATTGCATGCAATCTGCACGAATGAAATTAAATTTATCAAATGTTGCAGAAAGACATGAATATGTTCCTTCGAAGGAAAATTGGCATACAATTGTACGGATACATATGTACGATATACTCAAAGTGATGAAGGGTATCATATAGTCAACCCAGTCCGACTTTACTATTTTCCTTACTGGTTACCAATTCCAAGATATCTTCTCTCTTTCCCTTCACTTCCAATACAATCTATAATTTGATATAATAAAAATTTATCGTCCATATGATGATGACAAATAAATGTGGAATTATTTATGCTTATCACACATATTCGTAGTAGACAATGCCAAACATACTTACATGGATCCACCACCGCCCCCTCTCCCCGCCTATCTTAACTACAACGAGTCCTTACAACAGCTTTCCTCTCCCCGTCAAATGATTGTTAAACATAAAGCTTAAGCACCCTTAATTACTTCGTAGTTTTCCCCTTGCTTGCTGGGCTGGCAAGTTAAAGTAAATACACCCTTATCGATGGTTCGCTGACGACCATTCCTGGCCAGCTTTAAGTTTTCTTGAAAAAGAAGAAACTTTAAGAAGTTTACTTAGGCGATAAAATTGATGATGTTTGATGACTTTTAAGGTGATTACAATGGCTTTAACCATGGGTATTGAAGGCATGCTGTCTCCGTCCCCCCAACTGCATAAGGGACAATGACTTCTCCCCGTTTTTCGATTTACATGAATGAAGTCGGTCAGTGCACAGTTGGGTCCATCAGATTGACTGAGCACTTGCTGCCTCAGCTGGCGCTTGAATCCCTTTACAATTTATGGCTATCGCATAATCATATGTGTGTGTATGTATGTACTTCAATGGTGGTCGGTCGGCCGGTTGGCTCGCTTACTACCACGGTGGCCACAGGGGAGATTCATGCGACCACATATGGTTAACAGCCACCGTATGGTTCGTCCATTTGTTGGCTCTCCTCCACCCGGCTCATTACATGCAGTTTTTCTTGTTCTTTGTGGTGTTTTTCAATATTCATCATCAATACGCCTTACAAATATTTTGCCAATTTCTTTTTCTTCTTCTTCTCCTTCATCATCATCAACATCTTGAAAGTGTGAGGGTCATAAGAACACAAGACAAAAATCGAACGAAACGAATTAAAGGTACAAAAAGCGTAGTTTTCCTTCCCCTGTTTTGTTGATTCATTGCTCACAGGAAGTGGTTCGTCTTTCATTTATGACGTTCATACGTGTCGAAGCGATACCACCGACAAATCCAAATGTGTAGTTAACTAACAAAGAAACCTCATGGAAGGTATGGCGAACTGCACCCTCATGTGTGTATGGGTCGGACCACTGCCCTGCCATCATCATCGCATCACGTGTGTTTGATGGTGATGATGATGACGTTGCAAATGCTTGGCGCCCAATGGCAATGCTGTGTCGAGGATGTCGATGATGATGATGTTCTTCTCTTGCCCTGCATCCATCCACCTATCCATCCGACTGTAATCTTCCAGCTTTGATAATGTTCAAAAGATAAAAAGAAATTGTTAATTAAAAGTTCAAAAAATCTCAACAAGCTTGATTTGAGTGGAGTATCGTCTTCCAGTTTTCACTTCCTTTTTTGCACCCTGCACGTTTATTTAAGGAAATGAGTTTTTTTTTTGTTTCTTCTGCTTCCCTTTCTTGGCTAACAAGCGTAAAACGTATTTGAAGCGGAACTAAATTGTTTCATTTTTGTAGAGATTTAAGTCAGAGTCGTTAGCTATTGATTTGTCAGAATTTGGAAATTGTATTAAATTGATGGAGACCAAGGACCAGAGGCGAGAGGGTTGGATATAATGAAGAAGCAAGTTAGGAAAAAAAAGTAGTATGGAGACCAATATAGGCGTGGATTTTCTTAAATATATTTTTCCAAGTACCAATATAGGCGGGGATTTTATAAAGGCCCACAAAAGGCGTGGACTTTTAAAAAATTTTTAAGGACCTACAATAGGCGTGGATTTTTATACGCATTTATGGTCCGAATTGGATGCAATTTCGCATAAGTCACTTATTTGAGCCAAGGACGAACCCTATTGAAATTGGGAAAAATCGGTTCAGATTTAGATATAGCTCCCATATATATTTTCGTCCGATTTAAGGTAAATGGTGCACCAAAGTCCCTATATATCATTCGATTTGCACGAAATTTGGCACAGCATAATCAATAAGGTCTAGAATGATGTGTGTTAAGTTTCTTGAAAATCGGTCCAGATTTAGATATAGCTCCCATATATATTTTCGTCCGATTTAAGGTATTTGGTGCACTAAAGTCCTTAAATATCTTTCGATTTGTACTAAATTTGGCACAGCGTACTGAATTAATCCTAGAATGATGTGTGTTAAGTTTCGTGAAAATCGGTGCAGATTTAGATATAGCTCCCATATATATTTTCATCCGATTTAGGGTAATTGGTGCACCAAAGACCCTATATATCTTCGGATTTGCACGAAATTTGGCATATCGTACTGAATTGCGTCTGTAATAATGTGTGTTAAGTTTCCTGAAAATCGGTCCCATATATATTTTCGTCCGATTTAAGGTAAATGGTGTACCAAAGCCCCTATATATCTTTCGATTTGCACGACATTTGGCATAGCGTACTGAATTAGGTCTAAAATGATATGTGTTAAGTTTCGTGAAAATCGGTCCAGATTTAGATATAGCTCCCATATATATTTTCGTCCGATTTTAAGTAAATGGCGTACCAAAGTCCCTATATATCTCTCGATTTGCACGAAATTTGGCACATCGTAATGAATTAGGTGTAGAATGATATGTGTTAAGTTTCGTGAAAATCGGTCCAGATTTAGATATAGCTTCCATATGCAGTTTCTTCTGATTTCATGTAAATGGTGCACCAAAGTCCCTATATATTTTTCAACTTGCACGAAATTTGGCATAACGTACTGAATTGAGCCTAGAGTGATATCTGCCAAGTTTTGTGAAAATCGGTCCAGATTTAGATATAGCTCCCATATATATTTTTTCGTCCGATTTAATGTAAATGGTGCATCACACAATATACCCATAGTGGTGAAGGGTATGATTTGTCGGCCCCATCCGACTTTACTACTTTTCTTACTGGTTTAAAAATATTTTTCTAGAGGCCTCCTCAAGGTGTCAATTTTTATTTTTTTTATAATAAGTTGTTCATGTAGACAAAGTGGAGGGGTGTGCCCCTCCAAATTTAGTTAAGTTTTTAATTGTCTTTAAATTTGTCCAAATATCTCCTCCAGACTAATATTAAATTCCTTCAAATGTTCTGCAATCCATTCATCCAATTTGGCTTGGGTTTCGGGAGACAATTCGTCCTTGTAGGAACCCACAATGCCGCGACGCATGAATCTGAAAAACACAACAACAACAATTCAATATTTAAAGAAGAATCCCAATATATAATGACTATAAGAAAAAACTTACTCAAAGTCCGGCTTAACCTTGTTGCTGGCGTGGCTATTGACAATCAATTCGGTGGGATTGGCTGAGCTATTTTCTGTAATGAGATTTAGATTTTATAAAAATTATTTGAAAATATGTCCCATATTTACCCTTCATATTTTTAAATGATAAATGCTCCTGCAATTGTTGCAGTTGTTCTTCGCTGAGATCCGGTTTCCCCAGGAATTTATTTAAATCGATTAACACCTTTCGCAGATCTCTCTTCATATCTTCATAGGTGGCAAAGAAGACATTCTCTTCGTTACGCATTTGCCAGAAATCCCAGACGTGATACCAATACGGTGAATACATAATGTCGCCATTGATCAGATCATCAACAAATTCATCGATTGTACCCTCCCAGGTGCCAAGACCGCGGTGGAAATGATAAAAGGAGACGGCCATATCTTTGGGATTGCGGGCGCAATAGACAACCTGGAAATGAAAAAAGGAAATGGGAGAAAATGTAGTTTAAACAAAAGAAGAAGGAAGGTTTTGGAAATTTTTTTACCAGAAGGCGTAGATTTTTTATTTTTTTTTTCGAGGACTGTGTAGGCATAAAATGTTTTTTTTCATGGTCCACCGGTAGGTGGCCTATTTTTAAACATTATTTTTTCAAGGACCACCTTCAGACGTAGATGTTTTAAAAGGTTCTCGTTGGGCAGATAAAATGACTATCATAAATTACCAATAGTGGGACTTGCTCCGTGGTAGCCGCACTATAACGATACCTCCCGAATTTCGCTATTTTGAGAATATCAGGAACATTTTCCGCCAGTTTTTTGGCATTGCGAACATTTTTTGAACAAACCTCGTAATGTCACCCAAAATATTTTCCCTCTTACTCACTCACTGTGAGAATTGCTACTCTGTCTTATCAACAAAGCTTTAATGATTGGTTGCCGGTAGATCCAAACAAGAAAGCTTTTGTATATTTTTCAGGAGCTGAGAGTAAGAGAGTATTGTTTATAACAAATATAAAACAACTTATCTCCCATAGTATTATTAACTTTAAGTGGCTTGATAAAATGTAAACAAATAAATAATAATAATAATAGTAATAAAATATTCAAGTCATGCAAAATATCAGCAGAAAAAAAATTGAGATGTTATTGAATTAATAAAAATTTGAAATTGATCTCGCGACACTTTGTAACAAGTCGAGGGGTTCACTTAACGATTTTTTAGAAATAATCAGATTTGTTCACAGTTACTTACCTTTGCCTTCTTCGACCATATTTCATGGGGTATTAGACAGGCTGGCAAATGTGATTTCAAGACCCTGGGGGAGGGTATGTGTTTTGCAGCCTCTATTGTGTCAAAGGGGAAACCGCCATAGAAACCTTTAATTCTAAAAAATAAATAAAAATTAAAAAATAAACAAATAAAAAGCAAAATAAAATATGAGGTTCGGAAAAAAATTAAATAAAACCAGTAAGGAAAGTAGTAAAGTCGGACGGGGCCGACTATATGATACCCTTCACCACTATGGGTATATTAAGCAGGACTATAACATAAAATTGGATGAAAAAAATGTGATATTTATCTAAATGTGAATCTACCTAGATCTATCCATAAAGTATGTCAATCGACTTCAAACAAATATAAATAGGTCATCCGTTGGGCTATGTCTGCACTTCTAGAAAACGCAACTACGTAATTCTATGCTCAATTTTTTAAGTTGTGCAAAATTTGATGTCAATCTGACTAACATGAGGAGTTTGATGCCCAATTTACTAGAAATCGGGCGAAAATATATATGGAAGCTCTATCCAAATATTGAGCGATTTCAAACAAACTTGTCACAGGTTAGGTTATACAACTTTCAGAACGTTTTATTCCAATTGGTTCCTTAGTACGTCAATTACTTAAAATCAATCTATAATAAAAGGGAGCTATATCTAAATCTGGACCGATTTTCACGAAACTTGGCAGACATCATTCTAGGCTCAATTAAGTACGTTATGCCAAATTTCGTGCAAATCGAAGGATATATAGGGACTTTGGTGCACCATTTACATGAAATCGGACGAAACTATATATGGGAGCTATATCTAAATCAGGACCTATTTTCACGAAACTTGGCAGACATCATTCTAGACTCAATTCAGTACGTTATGCCAAAATTCGTGCAAATCGGAAGATATTTAGCGACTTTGGTGGACCATTTACATCAAATCGGACGAAACTATATATGGGAGCTATATCTAAATCTGGACCGATTTTCTTCAAACTTGGCAGACATCCCTCTAGGCTTAATTCAGTACGTTATGCCAAATTTCGTGCAAATCAGAAGATATATAGGGACTTTGGGCACTATTTACATGAAATCGGACGAAACTATATATGGGAGCTATATCTAAATCTGGACCGATTTTCACGAAACTTGGCAGACATCATTCTAGACCTAAATGATTAGGCTGTACCAAATTTCGTGCAAATCGAAAGATATATAGGGACTTTGGGGCACCATTTACATGAAATCGGACGAAACTATATATGGGAGCTATATCTAAATCTGGACCGATTTTCTCCAAACTTGGCATGCATCACTCAAGGCTTAATTCAGCACGTTATACCAAATTTCGTGCAAATCAAAAGATATATAGGGACTTTGGGGCACCATTTACATGAAATCGGACGAAACTATATATGGGAGCTATATCTAAATCTGGACCGATTTTCACGAAACTTGGCAGACATCATTCTAGACCTAAATGATTAGGCTGTACCAAATTTCGTGCAAATCGAAAGATATATAGGGACTTTGGGGCACCATTTACATGAAATCGGACGAAACTATATATGGGAGCTATATCTAAATCTGGACCGATTTTCTCCAAACTTGGCATACATCACTCTAGGCTTAATTCAGCACGTTATACCAAATTTCGTGCAAATCAAAAGATATATAGGGACTTTGGGGCACCATTTACATGAAATCGGACGAAACTATATATGGGAGCTATATCTAAATCTGGACCGATTTTCACGAAACTTGGCAGACATCATTCTAGACCCAAATGATTAGGCTGTACCAAATTTCGTGCAAATCGAAAGATATATAGGGACCGTTTACATTAAATCGGTTAAATATATATATGGGAGCTATATCTAAATCTGAACCGATTTTTCCCAATTTCAATAGGGTTCGTCCTTGGGCCGAATAAGTGACCTATGCCAAATTTCATCCAATTCGGATCATAAATGCGACCTGTACTTTGTTTACAATTTAACATGGACAGACGGACAGACGGACAGACGGACGGACGGACGGACGGACGGACATGCATAAATCGACTCAGAAAGTGATTCTATGCATATTCTCAAAAGGAACCATGTGTCTATCTCGTTTCCTTTTGCCTGTTACAAACATATGCACAAAGACATAATACCCTGTACCACAGTGTGGTGAAGGGTATAAAAATGAAGCAAGAAAAAATATAAGGCGTTGATTGTGTTTTTAATTTTTTCTCAAAGCGTTGATTTTAAAAAAAATATATTTTTTAAACCACCGTAAATTTTTTAAAAAAATATTTTTAAAATATGTTTTAAATATTTTTTAATACCAACTTTTTTAATATCAACCACCGTACATTTTTTAAAAAATATTTTTAAAATATGTTTTATATATTTTTAATAACAACTTGCGTGCATTTTTAAAATATATATTTTTTTCAACACCAATTCTCATTAGCCATTTAAAAAAAAAACCTACTCCATATATGGACTCCGACGCATCAATTGCTCCTTTTTGGCTGCAGCATAATCTAAATCATGCACCAATACCCAAGTGGCTTCCTGTATCCATGTTGTACCACATTTCGGAAATGTCACCACATAAACATCATCCTCTTTCACCTCAAAATGTAACATTTTATTAAGGTAGTCTTCATCTTCCAAGGGTAGGGTACACCAACGATAGGGACGTTCTTCCTGAGGCAATGGTAAATGTTTCGTGGGTGCCCTAACTTCTATGATATTACGACCACTTTGACGCTTTGCAGCCGATTCCGAACTACGTGACTGTGTTGTGAACATTTTGATGGCAACTAAAATTGAAAAAAAAATTGTACTGACAAGTACTCAATCATATCGCCTGACTATGCCGGGCGTTAGTTATGGTGGGGAGCAAGTGCAATATGTACGTATATGTCTTATCAATGGGATAATGAGGGGAGCAATTTTAGAGAGAAATTAAATGAAAGAGGGAGAGAAAAATTAAAAATATTTAATACGATTTCAAAACCCTGCACTTAGTTATCGTACATTTTTTTCGAGTACTCCATATAAAGATAAGCTAAAATAGGCTAACTCGGGTTAAAGAGGCCGGTGGGTAGAGCAGTAAAAATGCATTTAAGTTCCGTCGGACCTAATTTTTTTGTATCCCCCCACCATTTTTGTGGGATTGCTTGCTATACAATACGGTTGAAAATCGTGCCTTAGCTCTCCAAAAAAACCGAATATTAGGGGATATCGTTATATGCGTCCTATACCAAATTATCAATATCGATCATTTTGGCAGTGAGCTTTGACACCCAATGAGAACCCAAAATACAAAATTACAACCAATTCGGTTGTAAACGTGTTCAAGCTCCCCAAAATACCGAATAATAGGTGGTTATGTTGTATGGGGGTTACCCCAAAACTTGAGTCAATATTTATCACTTGGTATAATACAATACGGTTGAAAATCGTGTCCAAGCTCCCCAAGAACCCGAATATGGGGGATACCAAGCTTCCCAAAATACTGATTAATAGGCCCTTTCTGTTATATGGGGGTTATACCAAAATAAGGATCGATATTGATCATTTTAAATAGTAAGTTTTAACATCCAAAGATAATAAAAACAAGTGAAAAAGCGTTAAGTTCGGCCGGGCCGAACTTAGGATACTCTCCACCATAGAAATACTGAAATTTTTTTGAAATGAAAATATAGGGAACATACCCATCGATTGTTGTAAACCAAATATTAATTTCAGCAATTTCAATGGGGTTTTCCCTAAAATCTCAGAACCCCAAAATGTTTACATAGTAGGGTGAAGCATGCGTATAAAATCCTATGAGGCATGCTAAAACGGGACCAATATTGACAACATTGTCTAGGAATTAGCGTATACTTGGTGTTTCCATTATATAATAGGTTATGCCTAATTAAGGCCCGATATAGCTCAAGTTCAAGCTAATAATTTAGTTTTGAATCCCAATACCGTGCATCACGCTAAATATTAAAAATCTAGGGTGTTTTATAAAGACCTGGGCCTAAATGCGGGTCGATATAGCTCATTCTCAAACCTCTCGTTCCAGTTTTTATGTCGATATCCTCCGATAGAAAAATGATTACAACATATGGCTAAATCGTTTTAGAATTCCATACCATGCAGGGTATGAACTGAAAATTTCGTCTACAGAATATCCCCCATTCGATGGTGGAATATAGCTATATTAGGATAACCCCAACACGGAACAAATTAGCTAACTATTTTAATATAAAAAAGGGGGTTTTATGGGGACTACCCCTAAAATGGGGTGAATATTAATAATTTTTGGTAGGGAGATTTTTTACCATATACGACTATAAGATATCAAATTGTAGCGAATTCGCTTGAAAAACGCGCTCAAGAACCCCGAAATACCGAATATTGGGGGTACCCTTATATGGGGGCTATCAGAAAAAACGGACCTATGTTTATAATTTTTGGTGGGGAGATTTGCTACCCAATAAGAACTCAAAGTACCAAATTTCAGCGAATTCGGTTGAAAAACGCACTCAAAAACTTCAAAATACCGAAAATTGGGGGGTACCCTTATATGGGTGCTATCAGAAAAAGTGGACCGATGTGTACAATTTTTTGTGTAGATATTTGGCACTAAATAAGAATCCAATGTACCAAATTTCAGCGAATTCGGTTGACAAACGCGCTCAAGATCCCCAAAATACCGAAAATTGGGGGGTACCCTTATATGGGGGCTATCCGAAAATATGGACCAATATTTATAATTTTTGGTGGGGAGACTTGCTACCCAATAAGAACTCAAAGTACCAAATTTCAGCGAATTCGGTTTAAAAAACGCACTTAAGAACTTCAAAATACCGAAAATTGGGCGGTACCCTTATATGGGAGCTATGCCTAAACGTGGTCCGATATATCCCATCTGCGAACTGCAGACAAAAGACGACTCTATGCAAAATTTTGGCGATCTATCTCAATTCGTTTAGACGCTAGAGTGATTACAACAGACGGACAGACGGACAAGTTTAAATCGTCATAGAATTTTATGCTGATCAAGAATATATATACTTTATAGGGTCGGAAATGATTATTTCGCGTTACAAACGGAAAAACAAAACTAATATACCCTCCATACTATGGTGGAGGGTATAAAAATTCGGTTGAAAAAGCTCTCTAAAATACCGAATATTGGAGGGTACTGTTATATAGGGTGTAAAATTAATCTCATGTGTGATGTATTCTTGTATAGATTTCGTCTGGAGTGTCTCCAGACCTCCGGAGGGCAGTCTATGAATAGAAGGCCTCTGAATGCGGTTTTGTCTAAAGAATACCTTTGGTGGAACTTCTAGCAAGTCTTCTATGCATAGAGAATTTCTGTACTTTGTGTATTTAAGATATCTTGAGGCTTTTCTATGGGACTTATTTCTATATTTATTGGACTAAGCAAAAACATGGTTCTGAAAAGGAAAGGTGAATTCCTTTTTTCACCATATAATCAAATTATCGATAATAAGGCGGGCATGTATATGTTAGGCTATACCATACCGAGAACCTATATTGGACATTTACCCACCAACAACCTGGAATTCCAAAATATAGTCACTTCGATTAGGAAAAGCTTTCTACATTTTTTTAAATTCACAAAATTGAGCGATCTACATTCGAAAAATGTTGGCAAAGAGATTTTTCACCTTTTAACCTAAAGCCTAACACCATTAAAATATCTATAATGGTGCGGAACCTTTTTAGGAAAGTCTTCTAAGTAAAGGAGACCTTTGGATCACATTTAGTGTATAGAAGACTCCTGTAGGGTATTTTATGCATAGAAGACCCCTGTAGGGTATTTTATGAATATGAGACCTCTGGATAGCAGAAGTTTTTTTTCTACCTACCAAGTACCTGGAATTCTCAAATATAGCCAGTTCGATTGAAAAAATTAGCCTAGCACCATTAAAATACCAATAATGGTGAGGGTGCAATTACAGTGTATAGAAAAACCCCCTGAAGGGTATTTTATGCATAGAAGACCCCTGAAGGATATTTTATGCATAAAAGACCTTTGCATTAGTTTATATGTATTGAAGACTTCTGCTGAGAAGACCTCAGGAGAATTTTTTAAAACACTTCGCGAACTTCTTTGAATGATCTTCAGGGGTTATCTATACACTGAAGGTACTTCAGAGGTGTCCTATGCTTAGTAGATGCTCCAGAGGTCTTATATATATATATATATATATATATATCTTTTGGAGACCTCTGGAAGGTATAGAAGGCCTCTTAGAGGCTATAGAAGACATATATATATATATATATATATATATATAAGACCTCTGGAACATCTACCAGGTATATGACACCTCTGAAGTACCTTCAGTGTATAGATAACCCCTGGAGAGGTTATTATAGGTTATTATGCATAAGAGACCTCTGGATAGTTTTACATATATATATATATATATATACACCTTGAGAGACTTCCATATATATATAAATATATAACTTAAGGAAACCCTCTGTAGAGTTCTTTATATATAGAAGACCTCTAAAAAGTGTTCTAAGTATAGAGGAAGGTTATTTCATGCATAAGAGACCTCTGTAAGAAAATCTGGGGGTCTTCAGTTTATAGAAAACCTCTGAAGGATATTGAACACCACTGATAAGTTAAGGAAACCCTCTGTAGAGTTCTTTATATATAGAAGACCTCTGAAAAGTCTTCTAAGTATAGAGGAAGATTATTTCATGCAGCAGCACCTTAAGACTTCTGGAGGGCATTTTAGGTGTAGGAGACCTCTGGAGAGTATAGAAGACCACATAGGAGGTATGAACGACCTCTGGAGGGTCACTTGAACATAGAAAACCTCTGAAGCGTTTTCAGTGTATAAAAGACCCCTGGACGTTTTTTACACATAAGATTCCTTTGGATAGTCTTCTATATATAGAAGACATCTGAAGGGCCCTCTATATATATAGAATACCTAAGAAGAGTCTTCTATATATAAAAGACATCTGAAGAGTCCTCTATATATATAGAATACCTCAGAAGAGTCTTCTATACATAGAAGACATCTGAAGAGCCCTCTATATATATAGAATACCTCAGAAGAGTCTTCTATTTAGAGAAACATCTGTTGGTTCTTCAATGTATATGTGACTACTGGAGGCATAAGATACCTCTGGAAAAAGACTTCTGGAGGACATTTTTGGTGTAGGAGACCTCTGGAGAATAGAGAAGACCACAGAGGAGGTATGGACGACTTCTGGAGGGTTCCTTATACATAGAAAACCTCTGAAGCGTTTTCAGTGTATAAAAGACCCCTGGACGTTTTTTACACATAAGATTCCTTTGGATAGTCTTCTATATATAGAAGACATCTGAAGAGACCTCTATATATAGAATACCTCAGAAGAGTCTTCTGTATATAGAAGACACCTGAAGAGCCCTCTCTATATATAGAATACCTCAGAAGAGTCTTCTATTCAGAGAAAACATCTGTTGGTTCTTCAATGTATATGTGACTACTGGAAGCATAAGAGACCTCTGGAAGAAGACTTCTGGAGGGCATTTTAGGTGTAGGAGACCTCTGGAGAGTATAGAAGACCACATAGGAGGTATGGACGACCTCTGGAGGGTACCTTATACATAGAAAACCTCTGAAGCGTTTTCAGTGTATAAAAGACTCCTGGACGTTTTTTACACATAAGATTCCTTTGGATAGTCTTATATATATAGAAGACATCTGAAGAGCCCTCTATATATATAGAATACCTCAGAAGAGTCTACTATATATAAAAGACATCTGAAGATCTATATATAAAAGACATAGAATACCTCAGAAGAGTCTTCTATATATAGAAGACATCTGTAGAGCCCTCTTTATACCTCAGAAGAGTCTTCTATTCAGAGAAAACATCTGTTGGTTCTTCAATGTATATGTGACCACTGGAGGTATAAGAGACCTCTGGGAGAAGATTTCTGGAAAAAGACTTCTGGAGGGCATTTTAGGTGTAGGAGACCTCTGGAGAGTATAGAAGACCACATAGGAGGTATGGACGACCTGTGGAGAGTCCCTTATATATAGAAAACCTCTGAAGCGTTTCAGTGGACGTTTTTTACACATAAGATTCCTTTGGATAGTCTTATATATATAGAAGACATCTGATGAGTCCTCTATATATATAGAATACCTCAGAAAAGTCTTCTATTCAGAGAAAACATCTGTTGGTTCTTCAATGTATATGTGACTACTGGAGGGTATTTTGTGTGTAGGAGAACTTTGGTGGGTAAATACGATTACTTAGATGGGAGAAACTTCGGTGTATAAAAAATACCTATTATGATGCGAAACCTTCCTATGAGGGCTATACTTAAGATGAATATGATCTTTATAAAGATGGTTTCCCACCCAATTAGAGCTTCTCCAAAATATTTAATATTTATAAAACATCAAAAATATTCTTGAAATAATACACCTGTTATAAATTTGCAGCTTAGTGTCAAACTTCCCTATTATAAAATTCAAAAATGTAAATAAATTCGATTTGAATTAATACAAATCTAAAACACAAATTACCTAAAAATCCGACATAATATATTATGATAGTTAAGTTATGATAGGATTCTTAGAAGACCTTAGAAAGGGTCTTCCATGTATAGAATTTATTATTTCTTGTGATAATTAATTAGTTCAGAATAAGTTAAGTTATCAAAAATCTCTAAAAATCCCCTTGCCCAACAAAAGGGAAAATTCTCAATTCTGCCAATAGCACCCAAAACCACAACAACAATAATTTTTAGAACTTATCAATCTAAGCACGCCTCAGAACTTACTCATCCGGATAAACAAAAGAACTTATTCTGACGTTAGAAGCCGGTTTTTTTTGAGAAGAGATTTTTGCAATAACAAAAAACAAATTATAAAAATAAACAAAAGACAATCGTATAAGAGAATCGAATTGATCGAAAATTTAGATGGGATTCAATCTTAAAATTAGAGAAGTTGTTGCTGCTGTTATAAAGTTTTGATTCTAAAAAAAAAAAATATAGCCACAGAGCATCTTAACGGGGTTTTGTAGAAGACGATTGATATTTTCAGTCTATTGGCAGCGATTGGAATAAACGGTTCGGTGGATATCTGGAGAGGATAAATAAAAAAAAATCAGATCTAAAAAAATATATTGAGAAAATAAAATCAATATATAAATAATAAAAAAATATTTAATAAAAAATAAACCAAAAAAGTGAAGCAAATTTTTTTTAATAAAAAGAATACAAATTAAAATTTCATCTACAGAAAATCCCATATTTCATAACTTATAAATTTTGCTAAAATCGTTGTTGTTATTTTTTTTTATAAATTTTGTGTGACTTAGAACTCATCATTTTTTTGCTTTGCAAAGAATTTCTTGAAAACCAGATTGCTATCGGAATTAGAAATAAATAAAACAACCTGCTTTCAAATTCAAATCTAAGAATATCCAAATTTCGTTCGTTATCAACCTGATTTTGGTTAATAAAACCGGCCAACCACCGAAAGAGAGAAGTAGAGAGAGTGAGAGAACGGCAACAGAAAGTAACAGTGTTTTTTGCCTTCAAGATGTGGCTACTGGGAAGGGGTAAGCGGAGCTTTTAATTTTAATTTAATTATTTGTTACTTGTTTAATTCGAATATGTAATTATAATTGACGTAAAGACAAATTGTTCGGATACAAATTGTTGTTGTTTTTTTTTCAACAGAATAGGGATGGGTATTGCGGAATTTTCATCAATGAAAGAAAACAAATTAATTATTAGTCAGCAGCAGAAATGTGGAAGTGATTCATGTAATTTAAATTACAACATGTGGAAAAAGGTCACCTGGTATAAATGAGATGACGTGACAGGTCACCTACTATAGAGCATATGACGTGAAGAGTCATGACTTAATAGGTAACCTCCAATAGAGTAGTGGATGACAAGAAAATTCACCTACAATAGAGAAGATGACATGAGAGGTCACCTACTGCAAATAAAATGACGTGACAGGTCACTTACTAAATAAACATATGATACTATATGGCTGATAACCATATAGTACGTGACGTGAGAGGTCGTCTTCTATGGAATATAATATATGTGAGAGGTCACATGCTACAGATTAGATGAGGTGAGGGGCCACCTAATGCCAATCACGTGACCGGACAGGTCAACAAATATAGAAAGTGTGACACGAGAAGACTTCTGCTATAGAATTGATGACGTGAGATGTCACATTCTATATAGTAGATGAAGTGAGAAGTACCCTAAAATAGAGTTGAGTACCTCTGTGTAGAGGAAGTAGAAGACCTCTTAAGAATATTCTGTGTATAGAAGACCTCTAAAGGGCCTTCTGTGTATAGAAGACCTCTAAAGGGCCTTCTGTGCATAGAAGACCTCTGAAGGGTACCTCTGTGTAGAGGAAGTAGAAGACCTCTGTGTAGAGGAAGAAGAAGACCTCTTAAAAATCTTCTGTGTATAGAAGACCTCTGTGCATAGAAGACCTCTTTGAAGGGTCTTCTGTGTATAGAAGGCCTCTCAACGGTCTTCTGAGCAACGAAGACATCTGAAGGGTCTTCTGTGCATAGAATATCTCAAAAGGGTAATCTGTGTCTAGAAGACCTTTGAAGAGTGTTCTGTGTATAGAAGACCTCTTAAGGGTCTTCTATGTATAGAAGACCTCTGTAGGGTCTTCTATGTATAGAAGACTTCTGAAGGGTCTTCTATGTATAGAAGACTTCTGAAGGGTCTTCTATGTGAAGACTTCTGAAGGGTCTTCTATGTATAGAAGACTTCTGAAGGGTCTTCTATGTATAGAAGACCTTTTAAGGGTCTTCTATGTATAGAAGACCTCTGAAGGGTCTTCTATGTATAGAAGACCTCTGAAGGGTCTTCTATGTATAGAAGACCTCTGAAGGGTCTTCTATGTATAGAAGACCTCTGAAGGGTCTTCTATGTATAGAAGACCTCTGAAGGGTTTTCTATGTATAGAAGGATCTTCTGAAGGGCCTTCTGTGTGTAGACGACCTCAGGAGAGTCTTCTATTTAGACAATATCTTGTATAGAGAACTTCTGGATGGGTTACGATTTTTATAGGAGCTCTAGGGGTCCTCTGTGTATAGATAACCTCAGAAGGGTCTTCTATGTATAGAAGACCTCTGAAGGGTCTTCTATATACGGAAGACCTCTGAAGGGCCTCTCAAGGGTCTCTTGTGTATAGAATACTTCTCAAGGGTTTTCAATGTATAGAAGGATCTTCTGAAGGGTCTTCTGTGTCTAGAAGGCCTCAGGAAAGTCTTCTATTTAGACAATACCTTGTATAGAGAACTTCTGGAGGGTTTTCTATTTTTATAGTAGCGTTCAGTGAATGGATAACCTATGGAAGGTATATAGGACCACTTGGAAGGTAAAGTATACCTCTGGAGGATCTTCTAAATATAGAAGACCCCCTGGATTCACCTCTGATTAATCTTATATGTATAGAATAACTCGTGAGAATCATTTTTATATAGAAGACGTCAGGAGAGTCTTCTATTTGTAGAATACAGAATATCCTAAGGTTATATATAGAAAACTATCCAGGGGTCTTCAGGGGCCTTAAGGAATTTGAGATATCTTATAAATACAGTACATTTCCATAGGATTTGTAGAATGCATCTTGAGGTTTGGTTATGTCCAAAAGACCTCTGAAATGTTTTGTAGAATGCATCTGGAGGTTCGGTTATGTCTAGAGGGCTTGTGGAGGAACTTACGTATATAGTGGTGGGTATGTATAGAACACATGGATGCTTTTTCGGTATATAACTAAATTCTTTATGGTCTGCCAAGGGATGTTCTCTGTATAGAAGACCTTTAGATTGTCTCCTTGTATAGAAAAAATTGAAGAGTTTTCTATATAGAATAACCTCTGGAGTATAAATATAATATAGCCCTTCTACTATAGCCGAGGAAAAAAATAAAAAAAAAAATCTTCTTTTTTCTTTTCAGTCCTCACCATCGCCTGCCTGCTTGGTTTCTCAATTGGCACACCACAACAAACCCTCAAGTTCGCCCCACCTTCAGGCAATGGCGATGCGCAAAATGCCAACAACACCAACAAATTAGTGTTCTCGTCGACAACCCCCCAGTCATCGTCACCGATTATTTTTGCCAAGGATGATGATACACTCTATGATCGTTCGATATTCTCAACAACTGCGAATTTTTATCCCGACTCTTATAATCGTCCACCAATATTTGCCTCAGCTAAGTCAATACAACAATTGGCTCGATCTAACGGCGACCCAGTTACAAGTTCTCCCATGGATGCGGCAAATAACACCAAACCTATAGCTCCCGCAAATAAATTACCCTTAGGACCACCAGTGTTTGCCACACTTCGGGCGGAAGCTTCTCAACGCGTTCCAATCGATTTTAACAAACACGAGGAGGAATATTTAAAGGTCTTAGCCAAGGGTGCTGAAGAATTTGGTTTGGAATTTTTGGAAAAATTATCTGATGCCCACAAACCGATGCCACATCGTAGTTATATGGCATCTCCGCTGTCGGTGTGGTCTCTAATGGTGTTGTTAACCGAAGGTGCTGAGGATAACACACTAAAGGAGTTGCGAAATACCCTGAGGATAAATAATCAAACGCCATATGGTTTGAGAGTGGCATATCGCAAGATAAAGCAGAGATTGAAGTAAAGTTACAAATATATTTATTTCTGAGGATCAATTTTTTTTTAATTCTAAACTTTTTCCAGTGCCGTCACAAATTTCGTAGAGGTCGCCTCCTACCAGGCCATTTTCACAGATATCAACAAACCAGTGCAGCGTGATTTTGAAGATGTCATAGAACGTGAATATCAATCGGTCTTAACTCCTGTAGATTTTTCAGATGTCAATACCACTTTTGTCCGGATCAACAGTGAAATCGATAAGGCCACCAAGGGCCTATTGCCATATTCTATCTTGCCTCAGGATCTCATTGACGTCCAGCTCTTGATGATTTCTACTTTGTATTTTAAGGGTAAATGGAAGGTAGGTTGGTAACATTTTATTTAGATTTCTTTTAATAATAAAATTTGGTACCTGCAGTATCCTTTCGAGACCATCAACACCCAATCGTTACCGTTCCATGATGAAGAAGGCCAGGTCACTGGCAATGTTCAAATGATGTCACAAATGGGCCCCTTTACGTATGTTTTTGTTCCCGGCATTGATAGTTTTGTTCTGGAACTGCCTTATGGTCAGTCGAATTTAATGTCTATGTTGGTCGTATTCCCAAGGAAAGGTAAGTTCGGGAAGAGGATTTGAGAGAAGCCATTTTGTTGAAAAAATTATATGATTATACCTGGTGTAACCTCTGTTGCTCATCTTACCATATATGAGCCGCAGTAAGGCTTCCTTAAGTATAGGACCTCTGGAAGTCCCTCTATTTATAAACATCATCAGTAGATCTTCTATATATATGAAAGCCCTGAATATCGAAGACATGTATGACTTCTATTCTACAATTAGAAGACCTTCCCTAAGTAGTAAACACTTCAGGTGTCTTGTTATATAAAATGACTCCTCAGAATTTTTCTTAGATTACCCTTCAGAGACCTTTCACACATAGAAAATACTTCCTAGTCCTTCTATAAATAACAGGCCCTCCACTACTATACTCAGGTGGTGTCCAACACACATAATATCCTTCAGAGTCCTCCTTTGCTCATAGAAGATCTTCTTGAAATCTTCCATACACAGAATACCATCCAGAAATCTTCTATGCACCCTCCAGAGATATTTTCTATACATAATAGGCCCTTCAGCGGTTTCTATACACAGAAGTCCTCTTTACTCATATTTGTCATCAAGAAGTTTTCTGTATGCAAAATAACTACTGAGGTATAACCACATATACGTATGAGACCCTCCAAGGGACCCTTTGTATAGACGATCCTAAAATAGAAGTATCCGAAGTATACCGAAGTCTATATATAGGACTAATATGCGTAAGATAACTTCTTAAGGCCTTATGTACCTAGAATACCATGCAGAACTCTCCTATATATAGGAGATCATCTAGAGTTCTCCTGAGGATAATTTGTTCATAGGACATCTTCTACACACATAGTTCTTCTAGGTATAAAATATCCTCGAGTGTCATAGAAGACTTTACAGTGGTTGTTCGTGTTGTTGCAGAGGTCCTCTTTTTGCTGTTTTTCAAAATTTGAAGGATTTCAGGTCACTTATACCTGCTGAGGTACTAGACGCATATGAAACCCCTCATTTTTCTATACCGAAAATATCCTCTATAGGACTTCTGGAGATTTTCCAAACATCTTATATGAACAGAGGTCTTCTGTGTATAAGATATCCTCCAGAGTCATAAAAGACTTTCCAGGGGCTGGTGTAGAAGCCCGAAGAGCCACCTGACTTTCTGCCTTTAAATGACCAGGCAGATGTTTTCTATACGTAGATCAACTTTTTGAGTTCAATTACACTGAGAAGGTCTAGCAGAAGTCACTTATACCTGAAAGGACCTGCACAGATCTTGTAAGAGACCCTAAAGGGTGATTCTGGATATAAAGTAGTTTCCAGGAGCCCGAAGATTTGTTATTCTCACCCACAGTATCCAGCAAAGGCCTGAAAGCCTGACTTGAGGGCCGAAGAGCATGCATAGTTCCTGTGCAACTAAAATACGAAGATAACATCTTTTTTTGAAGTCTTTAAAGTTAGAAGACTTAGCAGGGGTCACTTATACCTGGAATAACCACCATTGTTCAGGGGTTCGGGATATAAATGACGTTCCAGGAGCCAGTAAATTGTTATTCACACCCATAAGATCCAGCAGGGGATTGGAAGACTGACTTGATGATCGAAGAGCCTGGAGAGGTCCTTCACACCTAAAACATCAAACAGGCATCTTCTCGTGGAAGACCGACTTGAGGACCGAAAAACCTGCAAAGGTCCTTTAGTAGTAAAAGATCAAGCAGACATCTTCCATATATGAAACATTTTCTTGAGATCCTTTACACTTAGAAGACCTAAAAGGGTTCACTTTTACATGGAATAATCTCCACAGGTCCTCCGAAACCTCTAAAATCTTCTATACGGAAAATAGGGGTTCTTAATATTCAGAATTCAGTACTTCCAGGATCCAGTAAATAGTTTTTTACACTCATTAGACCCAACAGAGGGCTGGAAGACTGAATTAAGGATATTAACACTTAGGAGACCAGTACGGGTTCAGCACCGGGAAAAATACAGGGAAGGCGCTTAGACGACCTAACAGTGGTCTCCTATATCTGGACGAACCTGCAGAGGTCATTTGTATCTAGAAAACCCTGCAGAGTCTTCTATACGAAAATGACTCTCAATAAGATTTGAGGATTTAAACGACCTTGCAGTAGTCTCTGCGGTACTTTTCTACACAAATGACCCCTTACAGTATAGCAAATTACCCCTTTAGTATAGCTTATCCGGACCCTTGAAGGCCTCTCATAGGACTTCTGTTGGTAACATTTTTTTTAAATTTTTCTTTGTTCTCTTTAACAGGTACCAAAGTGAATTTCGTTATGAATAATTTACGCAATGTCGGAATTTCTGCTATACTTCAGCAGCTGGAAGAAGAAGAACGTGCCCTGGAGGAGGAGGGTATACCCAATGAAGTGGAAGTATATCTGCCACGATTCACCACAGAATCCCATTTTTCGCTGAGATATATTTTGGAGAATGTAAGTTTGGGTTGGATTTTCATCTTCCCAAAAACAACAATAACCTCTAACTTATTTATCCCGATTCTTTTCCAGATGGGTATCATTGATGTCTTCCAGCCGCACTATGCAAACCTCACCAAAATTGCCAAGGATGTTTTTGTATCGAGCATATTCCAGTCGAGTCGTATTATTGTCAACGAAGATGGTACCGAGGCGGCAGCCTTATCTGTGGCCTCTTTGCTAAATAAGGCCTCACCCGTCAGGTTTTATTTGGATCGTCCATTTGCCTATTTGATTGTTGAAAAGACGGCACAGCTTTTATTGTTTGCCGGTGAAATAAAATCGCACGCGTAAAGAGGTTACAGAACTCAAGAGAGAGAGTGTGTGTGTGTTTTCTTTCTTTTTGTTGTTATTTTTGGGTATGTTTATTGTGGGGGTTTCGAAAATTTGCGTTCTTTGTATAAATCGAAAAAAGATATCAGAAGTGTGGGGAAGGGTATAAATTACATTTTGGGTTACAATTTAATTTCAATTACATTCCGCAAAGGTATTTTAAAGAGAAAACAACAACAACGCGTGTTGCCTTCCTAAAAATACGAAATGTTTATTTCAAGACCCAAAAAATTTTCAAATTCGAAATTACTGGAGTATACAGTAAGAGGATCGAATATCTCCATTAAAAACATTTCCAATGATAGTTGGTGCACCCTGCCTCCAACCTTCGATGGGGTGCTTGATAATATTCTAAAATTCGAGGTAAGATCCGATGATGTTTTTCTTGTAACTTTTATGAAATCCGGTACCACATGGATGCAAGAGGCTGCCTGGTTGCTGCTGAACAATTTGGATTATAAACAAAGTGAAATGGTGGCCCTGAATCAGCGTAGTGCTTTTATAGAGTAGGTCAATCGGATTTTTCTTGAGAGAAGTAAATTTAAAAAAAGTTTTTTTTTTAGATATCAGGGCCTAAGACCCTTTTATGCGAATCCAATTAAATTGTCTGAACAGCTGCCAAGTCCACGATTAATAAAAAGTCATCTACCCGACTATCTATTGCCACAAGAAATTTGGAAACAGAAAACAAAGGTGAGACTTTTTGGGGATCTGAGGTACTTTAGGGGAGTTTCCTCGAATAGGTATTTTTTCTTGTCCCCTTCCAGCTAATCTATGTGGCCCGAAATTGCAAAGATGTCATCGTATCGTCATACCACTTCACCAAAAATGTTGGCCATTGGTCGGGACCAAACCTCGAAGCATATGTCAATGATTTCATAAATGATGAAATAATTTATACGAATTATTGGTCTCACATTCTGAACTTTTGGCATATACGTAATGAGCCGAATATTTTCTTTATTACCTATGAAGAAATGTCGCGGAATTTGAAAGGTGTTCTCGAGAGGCTCTGTCGATTTTTGGAAAGACCCCAATTAAATCAGAAGGAAATGGAAAAACTATTGGATCACTTGTCATTTGATAATATGAAGGGTAAGGAAGAATTTTGAAGAAGTTCTACTGTGTAAAGAAAAGACTTCGGTAGAAAAGAACTAAGGGCGGATTATTCTTTAATAATTTTTCTGTGAACAATAAGTGTCGATTTTAACGAATATTTTGATCTATACATAGAAGACCCTCCAGATGTATTTTTTACTCATAAAGGATCTTCTAAATATTTTCGTTACTCTTAGAAGCTCGCAAGTAAAGTTTTTATGCGGAATAATGGTAAATTGAACTGTGCAGATTCGTCTTCAGCAATTGAAGGCCAATGAAAAATACTCCGTCTAAATGGACCTGTGTCAGGTCTTCTGAGATCTACTATGCACAGATAAATTACTTCTATAAAAAAGACCTGTGAAAAGTATTCCTTATATAGAAGGTCTGTGATAAGCCTTTTGCATTAAGAAGATCTCCAAACAATATTCGCTCGTTAGATGTAATGCAAAATGTCTTCTGACATACCACATTAAGAGAATTCTACTGGAAGACCTGTGAAAGCACTATGACCATGACTCCGTCTATAATAGACCAGTTCGTTTATCTACGGAAGATTATGGAACGTATTTCGGCATTAGTAGATTTGTGGAGTGCCTTCTGCTCCAAGAGAACCCATGTAAGACATGTGAAAGATATTTAAAACATCTGAAGATCCTCTCTCTTTAGTAGTTAATGTCAAATGTCTGTGTGTAGGAGGACGAGTATAGCTCGAAGAGTCTTTTATGTAAAGAAGACCTCTGAAGGGTCCTCTATGTATAGAATATTTCTCAAGGGCTATCCATATACTTCTGAAGGGAATTCTATGTATAGAAGACCTCAGAAGATCAATTAATAATTAATACCTTTAAGAGGTCTTCAATGGAGTTTTTTTTTTGAATTCAAGACCTTTGAAAGGGCTTCTATGTATAGAAGACCTCTGGAGGGTCTTAGATATACCAATATATCTACAAATGACTCATGTACACGGAAAACCTATAAAAGACCATCTTTGCAGAATAGGGGTCTGGAAACTCTTTTACATCGAATCAGCAGAAGCCTTTTTTGCGTTTAGAAAAATCGCAGAAGTCCACTCTTTGGGATTTTGAAGAACATAATACACAAAATATATAAAAGGTCCATAGAATAGTATATATAGAGGATCTGAAGGACCAGGGAGACCATGTAGACGAGCTAAGTGGCCAGGGAGCCAATATAGACGAGCTAAGGGGATCTGAAGGACCAGGGAGACCATGTAGACGAGCTAAGGGACCAGGGAGCCAATATAGACGAGCTAAGGGGCCGGTGAGCCAGTATAGATGATTTGAGGGACCAGTAAGTCTATATAGACGAGCTGAGGGCTAGTGAATATTATATATATATATATAGACGAGCTGAGGGGCCTGTGAGTCTATATAAATGTGATGAAGGCTCCTTGAGTCAATGTAAAGCAGCTGAGGGGTCAGTAACTCAATATAGACGAGCAGAGGGGCCAGGGGTCTATATAAACGAGCTGAGGAACCAGTGAGTCTATATAGACGAGATGAGGGGCAAGTGAGCTTATATAGGCGAGCTGAGGGGCCAAGGAGTCTATATAAACGAGCTGAGGGGCCATGTCTGACAGCCTTCATGTGTATAGAAAACTTCAGACATAACTTTTGAGTTCAGAGGATATCTAATAGTGTATAGAAATCTGAAGGTACATCTTCTGTGTATAAAGATCTTAGAAGGTATTCTGAGGGTCCAGTAACTCAATATAGACGAGCAGAGGAGACAGGGGTCTATATAAACGAGCTGAGGAGCCAGTGAGTCTATATAGACGAGCTGAGGGCCCCGTGAGCCTATATAGGCGAGCTGAGAGGCCTAGGAGTCTATATAAACGAGCTGAGGGCCATGCCTGACAGCCTTCATGTCAGTGTTGCCAATTTAGCACTTTTAGTGCTAGATTTAGCACTTTTTAAACTCTTTTAGCACCAAAAAAATTGATCTAGCACCTAGCACTTTTTTTAGCATTTTTATTTTTTATGGAATCTTCTCGAGAATTTCTGGTATCACTCCAAAAAAATTGTCATTATACCCTACACAACAATGTGTCAGGGTATTATGGCTTTGTGCAGCCCCAAGATTTTGTAACGCCGCGAAATATTGGTCCTAGACCCACCATTAAGTATACCGATCGTTATATCTCGACTAGCTGAGTCGATCTAGACATGTGTGTCCGTCTGTCCATTATAATTTGTAAACACGATACAGGCCGCAGTTATGGACCAATCTTCATGAAATTTTGCATGTAGGATGGGTTCTGCCCAATGAAGACCCCTATTTTTGGTAAAGATCGGTTAATATTTAGGGGATGAAGTGGACCAAAAACTAAATTTTTGTCTGATTTTCTACATGGAGAAGGGGATTGGGCCAAAGAATAAACGTCTTTTTTGATAGAGATAGGTCAATATTTAGCGGGCCAAATGGACCCTTACTTTTGTGTGAAAATGACAAAATTTGTATTCTATAGCGTATATATTTACTCATGAATGACATAGAGCCGAGAAGTTGATAGTACATCCAAGAGAAGTGGTTGACCTTTAAATTGATACAAATTATATTGTCGTATGTACTCGCATGTGGGAATTACTTTTAAATATTTACAGGTGCTCACGTACTCAGATATTATTTAGTAATATCTGTACCACACTAGAGGCGGAAATACAGCCCGGATCGCTTTGAAATTTTCCATGAGAATCCAGGTATGGTCAAGGATAACGCCTATAATTTTGGGTGATGATCAGATAATAATATTGGAATGAGGTGGAGCGAAAACTTAATTTTTTGTGTTTTTTCTAGTCAATATGTAAACCACAATTAAAAGCCGAACATCATAACACAATCCACGGTGAAGGGAATCTAAACAAGTAATTAGAAGGGATTTACTGAATATTATTAATATTTGTTGACCTCTAGTCGGTCAAGAGGTTGCAAATATAGCGAAATATTTTCCATGCTCAGAATATATAACCACAGAAAGTTAGATTTTCGTGGAAGTTGAGTGGGGTATCATATGGTCGGCCCCGTCCGACAATACTGCTCCGCTCTCTGGTTTTTCGATTTCACTTTGACAAATTGAAATTTCTGCATTTTTTCCACGATGAGTTAGATTTTCCAACGTTAAATCAGCGAGCGGAGCAGTAAAGTCGGTCGAAGCTAACCATATGAAACCCTGCATAATTATCAGTGGACCTCAAACGAATTCCGGTGTCAGTGAAAAATTCGCGGCATATACACCTCCTTCTGTGATAATGCTACTTAACAATATTAGAATGTAAAACTATCAAAAACTATAGATTTCTTACTTGACCATAACCGACATTTTCGCCCTCTGGTGTGGGAATAATATTAAACATTATTGGCCTTTTGGCCATTTCAAATGCTAAATATTAACCGATTTTTACTAAAAACAATATGTATCCTGTTTGGAAAAGTTTCATTTCATTTTTTAATTTATATTAAGGTATACAAATTAAGAAATATAGATTTCATTAACAACTTTCTTTATATTAAAATCTAGCACTTTTTTCTGGCACTTTTTTAAATTTTTTAGCACTTTTTAGCATTTTTTTAAACAGAATCTAGCATTTTTTCTCAACAAGGTTTTGGCAACACTGCTTCATGTGTATAGAAAACTTCAGACACACCTCTTGTGTACAGAGGATCTCTAATAGAGTATAGAAATCTAAAGGTACATCTTCTGTGTATAAAAATCTTAGAAGGTATTCAGTGAGACCTCTACAAGGTCTTACTCTTTTCGAAAATCTATAAAATGAACATGTTTGCATGAAGAAGACCATTACAGAGTCTTTCTAAGTAGAGTAGAATAAATAGAAGGAGATATCTGAATAGAAGATGTTTTTATTTTGTGAAGACCTATTGAGGAGACTTAAGATTAGAATGCGACTTATAAAAAGCCCTCCTGAGTACAAAAAAATATCGGAACAAGGTATTTTATGTTTAAATGTGTTTTTTTTAAGAAGTTCTACATTGGATATAATATCTTTGGGGTATAGAAAATAACGAGGAATGATTTAAGGTTTTAAGGAATTATGTTCAGTGTGAGGGTCCCTTAGAAGGTTGTTTTGCGTAGAATACCTCCGAAAAGCGTTATATGTACGGATGATCCATAAAAGGTTTTCTGTGGTTAGACCTCTTGCAGAAGAGATAATAAAGCCATCCTGAGTATGGGAAATCAAAACAAAGTATTTCATTGTTGAAAATTTTCTGACGTTTACATTGTATAAAAGCTAATCTGATAGCTGATAGAAGTTCGGGAAGGAAGATAGAAGGTTTCCAAAAGGTATTTTGACTATAAGAGCCCCCATAGAAAGTGTTTCTGAGTAGAAGACCTCTAACCAAAGGCTTTGTATGTTATAAAGACTTCTGTGGCGAAGACTTCTAAGAGGACTTATGTGTTCTGAAAATTTCTATCAAGTCGAAATGAGTATAAAAATCCGAAGAAGATATTTTATACATAAAAATATATCTCATAAGTTTCGCATTTTTTGATAAGAAATCGAGAAGATACTTCGTGAAAAGTCTTCTGTGTATAGTATACCCTTGAAAGCGGTATGAGTTTTTTACCTTGTATAACTTCAATATTTATTTTTTACTGTCGGTTTTTTACCTTTACCGCCCAGAAAATAAACAAACGAATGCCACTGCTTCGATGAAGGCCAAAATTCCCAACATCAAGGAGGATTTTCAGTAAGTTTTCCTAATTGTCTTGTGAGAGAATATATCCTTCGAATTTTCTACAATTTTTTTAGATTTATGCGCCGCGGCATTGTGGGTTCGTACCGAGACGAATTGAGTCCAGATTTACAAACCAAAATCGATGAGTGGTCCAAGAAAGTGTTAGCCGAACATGGGCTAGCTGAGGAGGACATTTTTGGGAAATTTTAGAATGCAGACATACAAAAAAATTATATAAGGAAAATTAATTTCTGAGTCATATGTTATACCTAAAAGTATGCAACGCACATGGACTATTAGTAAGAAATGGGAGAAATGGAAAAGTCAAACGATGGCGAAAATATAAATTTTATAAACAATAAAATTGCAAAAATAATAATGCGTGTTCACAGCAATTGAATTATTTAAATGTTTTTTAGAAGTTCTACATTGGATAAAATACAAATACAGAGGTGTGGTTTAAGTTTTTAAGGATTTTTAGGAGTCATGTGTTTTACCTAAAAGTATGCAACCTAAACTTATTATAAATCAAGCAATGGTTCTAATGGACGTTAAATCCGAAAACCGAATAACTTTTTTGAGCTTTTGATTTTTTTTTTTTTTAAATCTTACACTGTGCCTGTGCTTGAACATCTCTCAAACACACTAATTAAACTATAATAAAAACTATTCACTTATGTTGTTGTTGTTGCTATCAAGTATACAGATAAAGCATATGCATTAATAACCTTAGAAGACACCTCGATATTTGCTCTTCTTCGACAACAGAATAAACAAAGAAAGCTGAGAAAATTTTGATAACAACCGGTTGTTCGCTCTGGGCCCTATCATTTATAGTTATCAGCTTGCCACAAGGTAGTTTGAATTTAGAAAGCGATAGGTGCGCAGCTTTTTTTTCCAAAAGAAATTAAAAAAATTTATATATAAAAACTAAATAAATAAATAATATTTTATTATAAATTAAAAATACAAATAATATAAAAAATAGTTTCCAAAAAATCTCCCCTTAAAATGTTCGTATCACGTCCTGTAACAACGGCCACCCACAAAACTCGCTCCCCTCTGCCCATGAAGGAATATGCCGCAGAGGGTCTAAATATTCCGCTAAAGAAAAATTGGTTAGATTCCTGGTGTACCCTACCAAATGCTTGTGATACAGTCCTTCCAGAGTTACTCCGCTATGAAGTACGCGATGATGATGTTTTTGTTGTGACCTTTATGAAATGTGGCACCACCTGGATGCAGGAGACCGCTTGGTTGCTTATTAATAATTTAGATTATGAAAAAAGTAAACAGGTGGCGGTGTTGGATAGAAGTCCATTTTTAGAGTGAGTTTGAAAATTTTGAAAGGAAAAAATAATTAAATTAATACTCAAAATTTGTTTTGCAGAGATCATGGTATTGTCAGTGGAGCTCGCGATGCCATAAAGTATAGTCAAACATTGTCCAGTCCACGTTTACTCAAATCACACATGCCAGCCAATTTGCTGCCGTTGCAGATGTGGGAACGCAAACAAAAGGTAAGCGTGATAAGAACAAGCAATCAGAATAGAGATAATGAAAATATATGGGGGTCCAGTTAGCCTATATAGACGAGTTAAAGTGCCATGAGTCTTTAAAGAGGAACTGAAGGGCCATTGATTATATACAGATGAGCTGACGGGACGGTAAGTCTATATAGATGAACTGAGGGGTAAGTGGGTCTATATAGACCCAAAGTTTCTGTACAGACGAGTCTATATCGATGAGATGGGGGGCCAGTGAATCTGAGGAGCCAAAGATTCTATACAGGCGAGCTTAGTGGCCAGTGAGTCTATATAGACGAGCTGAGCGGCCATTGAGTCTATTTAGACGAGATGAGGGGCCATTAAGTCTATATAGACGAGATGAGGGGCCAGTGAGTCTATATAGACGAGCTGAGGGGCCAGTGAGTCTATATAGACGAGCTGAAGGGCCAGTGAGTCTATATAGACGAGCTGAAGGGCCAGTGAGTCTATATAGACGAGCTGATGGGCCAGTGAGTCTATATAGACGAGCTGAAGGGCCAGTGAGTCTATATAGACGAGCTGAAGGGCCAGTGAGTCTATATAGATGAGCTGAAGGGCCAGTGAGTCTATGTAGACGAGCTGAAGGGCCAGTGAGTCTATATAGACGAGCTGAAGGGCCAGTGAGTCTATGTAGACGAGCTGAAGAGCCAGTGAGTCTATGTAGACGAGCTGAAGGGCCAGTGAGTATATACATACGAGCTGAAGGGCCACTTAGTCTATACAAAGAAGTGGAGGGGCCGGTGAGTCTATATATGCGAGCTAAGGGGCCATTGAGTTTATAAAGATGAGCTGAGTGGCCAGCGAATCTGTGCAGTCGAGCTGAGGGGTCAATGAGTCAATGTAGACAAGCTGAGCGGCCAGTGATTGTGAGGAGCCAAAGATTCTATACAGACGAGCTGAGAGGCCAGTGAGTCCACATAGACGAACTGAGGGGCCAGTGAGTCTATATAGATGAGCTCAGGGGCCAGTGAATCTGAGGAGCCAAAGATTCTATACAGACGAGCTAAGAGGATAGTGTGTCTATATAAAGGAGTTAAGCGACCAGTGAGTCTATGTAGATGAGCCCTTGAGCTAGTGAGTCTGAGGAGACAAAAATTTTATACAGACGAGCTGAGGGCCAGTGGGTATACATAGATGAGATGAGGAGTCTGTGAGACTATATAGACGAGCTGAGGGGCCATTGAGTCTATCTAGACGATCTGAGGAGCCACTGAGTCTGTACAGAAGAACTGAGGGCCAGTGAGTCTGTAGAGATGGCCCTCTGTAGACAATATATGTGGTAAAAATATTTATAGCTATATGACCTCTTTCAGGTCTTATGAAAAGTTCATAGGGTTTCTATAGAAAACAGACTTTCTACAGGTCTTCACTAGGAGGAAACCCCATTACTAGTTTTTTAAACACTGTAAACATTTCACAGGTTTTTTTATGGACAGCAGATTTTATCAGGTCTTCTATGGAAACAAGTCTCATGTATACAAGAGACCTTCTACAGGTCCTATATTGGCTGTTGACTCTCTTTAAGCCTTCTATAAATAAAGGACATTTGCTGGCCTACAGAAAATATTATTTTCGGTCTTTTATGGACCACAGGCTCTGGTCAGGTTTTCTATTGACAGAAAATCTTAAACAGACCTTTTATACACAGAATATTCTTTACTGGCTTTTCTACGGAGAGAAATCTTTCTAAAGATTTTTTATGGACGGCAGATTTCTTTACCGGTATCCCCTATATATAGCAGATCTTTACAAGCTTTCTGTGGTCCTCTGCAGACAGAAAATTTTATACAGGTCTCCTATGTACAGAAATCTTAACGCAGGTCTTCTATAGATATAAGACCATATACATGTCCTCTCTATACAGAAGGCTATTTACAGATTCTCTATACATAGAAGGTCATCTCCAGGTCTTTTATAAACAGTTTTTAAATATTTACAAATTCCATCCTAAATACTTAAATTTATCTACACTTTTGAAAATTTCAGATTATTTATGTGGCTCGCAATTGCAAAGATGTTGTTGTATCCTCATATCACTTCCTCAAAAAATTGGGTCTCTGGACGGGAGACAATATCGAAGATTATGTTAATGATTTTATCAACAATGAGCTGAATTATACCAGTTATTGGAATCACATTGTAGATTTTTGGAAAATGCGTAATGAACCGCATATTTTCTTTGTAACCTATGAAGAAATGAAACGAGATTTGGCCAGTGTCATCCAGAGGTTGTGTGTGTTTTTGGAACGGCCCCAATTGACCGAGGAGGAAATGAAGAAGACGCTGGAACATTTGTCATTTGATAAAATGAAAAGTAGGTAATCGAAAATTTGCAAAACAGAAAAAAATTTAAAATATTTTTTATTTGTTTAATAGGTTATGAAAAAATGACCAACGGCTTGAAGAAACAGCTACCAAAGACCACTACGGATTTTCAGTAAGTTATTTTTACAACTCTCACTCACTCACTATAATGCTCACTGTAACATATATTTAATTCGTGTTTTGTCTGTCCTTTTTCAGATTTATGCGTCGTGGCATTGTCGGTTCCTTTAAGGATGAATTAACTCCCGAATTACAGCAGAAAATTGACAATTGGTCTCAGGCCTGTTTGGCCCAACATGGTCTCAAAGAGGAGGATATTTTTGGTACATTATAAGGTGGTGTAGATCAATTTTTGTAAATAAAAAAATATATATAAGCACAAATAACATTAATAGAAAAATATTGACGCCCAATGATCATATGTTGGGCGCCACTCATTTTTTTTATCATTATTAGGATCAATATTTAGGTTAATTTAAAAGTTGCTGTATTGGTAGGGACGACATTTATTGAGAATAAGAATTTTTCTGAAAGGAACAGGGGACAAAATAATTGTCCTTGTTCCAAGATTAAAGTTATTATATAGGACGTTTAAAGGTGAGCTTAACTACAAAAAAACCTTGTGGGCGAGATGAAGAGAAACATTGGGCTTAGATTTGGAGCTAGTTTTCATTGGTCCCAGAATAATATATCATACTGTTTTAATGGCAACAACGCCTCCACGGATAGATGAGCGTTCATCATATATAATATTATTGACAATACGATTTGGGTCCTTCATCTCGCCCACAAGGTTTTTCTGTAGTTAAGCTCGCCTATAAACGTCCTATATAATAACTTTAATCTTGGAAGAAGGACAATTATTTTGTCCCCTGTTCCTTCCAGAAAATTCTGCCGGGGCAATATGGGCGCCATTGGAAAGCTAATGGAAATTACTTTCCTTCTTGGCATTCCTTTCTTCTTCTTTCATTTGTGAGAAACTCTTCGTTTCATTTATAAATTAGAATAAGACTTCAACGGATTTTAAAAGAGTCGATTAATTTAATTCCAGTAGTAAAGCTATTATTTACCTTAATTAAACTTATTCAGATCGCCCTGCAGATCGTCATTAGTTCGCCTATAAACTTGTCAGTAAACAAACGTAGTATTACGTTCGGTGTACACATACGTTTTACAGGTATTCTGTATAAGATTTTTACAGGTCCTTTTATACACAGCAGATCTTGAAAATGACGTCTATGGAAAAACTCCCTCTTCTATAAAAGCAGACCATCTACAGGTTACCTATGGACAGTAGACAATCAGCAGGTCACCTATAAACAGCAGACTTTGAAGACTTCCTCAAGATTCCAGGCCTATTAAATGTTTTATTAGAAATTATCCGATACTTCATTATCCCGAGAGTCTAAAAATTTGTTTTACTCCTCAACTCAATTTTACAGCTCTTAGGACCTCCTCAGATGAATAAAACTCAAAGATCCAACATGCTGTTTTATATCCTCAGTTTTTACTACAAGTTATTTTTGTTAAAAAATAGAACACTTTCCGTGATACTGTTCTCTGTTTAATTTTATAGACTCCATTCCTTTTTATTCCGTTCTAAACAATTTGTTAGCCTCTTCTACACTACACAAAAATTAATTTTTTTAATTCCCAAAACTTTTTCAGTTCTATAAACCTTTTCTATTCGATATCTTCAGTTCGAACAAGCTCTTTTTATTAAAAATTAGGCTGCTATTCATGATACTGAACTCTTTAAAGGCTTCGGGCTTCTATTCACCCCTTGTCCAATTTCCAAGCCTTTTCTGGTCTTCACAGCCGGTCTGTTCTGTTAATTCTTTAACATGGTGTATTTTAAAAGCACGTCTTCACCTTGACCATTTCTGTAAATTATATTATTCTCCAAATTTCTTCAACTCATTTAAAAAGTCTTCATGCTTCGTAGGTTATCTGTAGAAACTTCGTGCTCCCAAATATTTTTCAATGCATAATTAAATTGTACAAATCTTCAGCCCGCCTAAGGAATGGTCATGCTTCTAAGGACGTCTTCGTGTTCCCAATCCCGTTTATACAATCGTTAGCCTTTCTTGGATCTATAAAGTCTCAAAGGCTATAATTTAATTCAATACAATTTGCCTGACCTTTGAATTCGTTTTCAATGTCACTCTCTTCTACTTGTCTTAGAAGTTACAATGCTTAACTGCTCTTTTCAACATATACCTCCTGTTTTAACATCCTCCTGTGCCTTCTGGCGTGTTAGCCGACGTGACTACAAATAATTTGACAATATAGCTTCCATATTAAGTCCCAACATTCCCCAGAGCCCACCTTTTTCTTCTGCAGATTTATTAAGAGACTTCATGCTTCAATGTAACTCCCTATATTTATTCAAGTTCGTACAGGAAGACTGTCTGGCTCTCCACATCGTCTATAGGAACTTTTTTGCCATTTAGCTTATCTTTGGAAAATTCTTTTTCGAATCGCTATTTCCTTAACATGTATCATCGATATTCGAAGAAAATATTCTCCAAACATGTGTGTAACTTCCCGCACTTGAGGTGGCAGGTATTATAGGGTAAGTAAATGATGTTTTAATTGGTCGACAAAATGTTGTGATGTGTTTAGATGAATGACCCGCTTCAAGTCTAATTATTATTTTTACAGTGGAACTCCTTACACAGCTCTGAGAAGCTTTGATTCTATTTCCATTTTTGACAAAATGCTTATGAATTCATTTCATTCGGCAATTATATACATGTTCGACTGTATAATTAATTTGTTGTAAATATAGCTGTGAAACATATTTGTTATTTTTTTTTTGTAAAGGAAAGTTCCCACATTAATAAGTTAATACGCAAAATATCTACCTACATACATTTCGGCCCAAAGAGACTAAGCCGAAAGAGACTACGAAGAATTTAATCTAATCCATCGGTGGAAGTTTAAACGGAACGGAATTTTAGAATTCAAATATTAATTTTGGCTTTAGTTCTTATATTACAGTTTATTTGTTTTACATGCCTATGATTTCTCTTAGCTTCTGACATAAAATTTTGTTTTTTTTTCTATTATTATTTTTTAAATCATTTTCATTTTATTTACAAAAAACAAATATTTAATCAGCCTGGAGTAATAGACCTCTCGATTAAATTAAAAAAAAAACACTTGTCATGTGTAAAGTATATTTTTTTATATATTTATCTATCTCAGAAAGCAACACATTTGTTATTGCCCAAATAATAATAAAAAATTTTGAATAGGAGAATAAATTGTAATAAGATAACAATTACAACAATAATCACAATGTGTGAATAAATTTTGCCTACACACAGACTTGGGGATACACCCTATATTCAAGAACAATTGAATGAAGGGATTAAAAACAAATTCGAGGGCTATCTGAGGCGTGGATTTTTTTAGAAACATTTTTTAAGTATTATCCTAGACATGGATTTTTCAAAAAAAAAAAAAAAAAAAAAAAATTAAAAATATTTTTCCACGCCTCAGATAGCTGAGGCGTGTATTTTTTTTAAATATTTTTTCCTGGATTAATGAGGCGTGGATTTTTTTTAAATATTTTTTACATGGATTACTGGGGCGTGGATTTTTTTAAAAACATTTTTTCCAAGGACTATCTGGGGCGTGGATTTTTTAAAAATATTTTTTCCACGTACCAGATACGTGGATTTTTTTAAATATTTTTTTCATGGATTACTGAGGCGTGGATTTTTTTAAAAATATTTTTTCAAGTATTAACTAAGACGTGGTTTTTTCAAAAATATTTTTCAAGGACTATCTAAGGCGTGGATTTTTTTTTTAAATTTTTTTCATGGATTACTGAGGCGTGGATTTTTTTAAAATATTTTTACCAACTACTATCTAAGGCGTGGACTTTTTTAAAAATATATTTACCAACTACTATCTAAGGCGTGGACTTTTTTAAAAATATTTTTCCTAGGACTATCTGAGGCGTGGATTTTTTTAATATTTTTCATGGATTACTGAGGCGTAGATTTTTGTTAAAATATTTTTTCCAACTACTATCTAAGGCGTGGATTTTTTTAAAAATATTTTTCCCAGGACTATTTGAGACGTGGATTTTTTTAAACATTTTTTCATGGGTTACTAACGCGTGGATTTTTTTTAAATATTTTTTTCATGGATTACTGAAGCGTGGATTTTTTTAAACATTTTTTTCATGGATAACTAAGTCGTGGATTTTTTTTAAATATTTTTTCATGGATTACTGAGGCGTGGATTTTTTTTTTAAATATTTGTTCATGGTTTACTGAGGCGTGGATTTTTTTTAATATTTTTCTCCAAGGACTATCTGAGGCGTGGATTTTTTTTAATATATTTCTCCAAGGACTATCTGAGGCGTGGATTTTTTAAACATTTTTCTCCAAGGACTATCTGAGGCGTGGATTTTTTTAAATATTTTTCTCCAAGGACTATCTGAGGCGTGGATTTTTTTAAATATTTTTCTCCAAGGACTATCTGAGGCGTGGATTTTTTAAATATTTTTCTCCAAGGACTCTCTGAGGCGTGGATTTTTTTTTAAATATTTTTCGAGGCCTACCCTTAGGCGTGATTTTTTTTTAAATATTTTTCTCCAAGGACTATCTGAGGCGTGGATTTTTTTAAAAATATTTTTCTCCAAGGACTATCAAAGGCGTAGATTTGGATTTTTTTTTTTTTAATATTTTTCTCCAAGGACTATCTAAGGCGTAGATTTGGATTTTTTTTTAAATATTTTTCTCCAAGGACTATCTGAGGCGTGGATTTTTTTAAATATTTTTCTCCAAGGACTATCTGAGGCGTGGATTTTTTTTAAAGAATATATTTTGAAGGACTATCTGAGGCCTGGATTTTTTTAATGTTTTTTTTTTTAATATTTTTCTCCAAGGACTATCTGAGGCCTGGATTTTTTAAATGTTTTTATTTCAAATTTTTTTTTAAGTCTGATCTGGTTCAGATAACCAATCAACAATATGTATACCAATTGTTAATTATTTATTTTGATTTGAATTTATAGTACTTCATAGTAACACTAGCATACATACACTTCACATATTGTTTTATTTTTAATTATCAACTAAAAAAATAGGTTATTTTCCAGAACAAAAATAAACTAATTGTTGTCAAACAAAATAAAAACTAAAAAACCGAAAAAATTGGCTAGTCATTTTGTTTACCCCAAAAATAATCTGCAAATCTTAAAATAAAAAAATAATCGTCATAAAACTCACACGTGTTTTTATTTTTTAATCAGACACATGTTTGGCAAAGTCTGTTATCTATAGTGGTCTTATCAAAATCTCGTTTGCTCAGCTTCGAATAAATAATAGAACATCCAAATTTGTAGATATGGACTTAATCCATTATCGTAATAATGGGCTAACACAACAATGATGTGTATGTTACACATCGGAAATATGTGTGTAGGAGAGAAGGCTTTCTCAATGATAATTTTTCGAATAAAAAAACAACAACAACAAAACACCCTATATTTATTATTATTTTGCCAATGGACAAGATAAGCCGGTTTTCTGGTTGTTTTTAAATTAATTGTAGATGACTGCGAACATTAACAGTATTGGGAGAGACGTCGGGCGAAGCAGTTAGTCGTTAGAAATTAAAAGGGATTTTGAAATCTAATTTTTTTTAGAAACAAATTTACGAAAAAGAAAACAATCATCATGTTCAAATCACGCCCCAAACTCACAGATGGCAAAGAAAAACGTGCCTTTGCAATGAAACAGTACTCGGCTGAGGATCCAAATATCCCCTTGAAAAAAGATTGGTCGGAGACATGGTGTACCCTGCCACAACCTTTCGATACAGTGCTAAACGAAGTTCTCAACTATGAGGTGCGTAAGGATGATGTCTTTGTATGCACCTTTATTAAATGTGGTACCACCTGGATGCAAGAGACCGCTTGGTTGTTGCTGAACAATTTGGATTTTGAGAAGAGTAAACAAATCGCTCAGACCCTAAGATCACCATTTATTGAGTAAGTTGGCATAGAGGAGGTTTTTTGGTGGCACTCATATTAATCGGATATTTGTTTTTTAGTTTCCATGGCATTATTCCCACGGCTCCCAATCCCATTGAATATAGCAAAACATTGTCCAGTCCCCGTCTGCTGAAGACCCATATGCCGGCGAATTTGGTGCCAAAACAAATTTGGGAACAAAAGACAAAGGTAAGACGAATTGAAGAGTAAAAAGTAAAGGCAAGGGGTTCAAATTAACCACACCGTATATCAAAAAAGCAGAACGAGAGGCCAGGAAGTCTTGGAAAAGGATGAGGAAATTTTTGTGCATTTTTTTAAAAATATTTTTTCCATGACTATCTAAGGCGTGGATTTTTAAAAAAAATTTAAAGGCCTACAATAGGCGTGGATTTGGGAAAAATATTTTTTCGAGGACAATTAAAGGCCTCTATTTGGGAAAAATATTTTTTCGTGGACAATTAAAGGCTTCGATTTGGGAAAAATATTTTTTCGAGGACAATTAAAGGCTTCGATTTGGGAAAAATATTTTTTTCGAGGACAATTAAAGGCCTCGATTTGGGAAAAATATTTTTTCGAGGACAATTAAAGGCCTCGATTTGGGAAAAATATTTTTTTCGAGGACAATTAAAGGCCTCGATTTGGGAAAAATATTTTTTCGGGGACAATTAAAGGCGTGAATTTGGTAAAAATAGTTTTTTTTTTCTAAACTGTAACTCAAAGCGCGAATTTTTAAATAGAGTCGGGAAGTTTTTTTTTAAAGATACCAGATGGTCAAGAAGCCTATATATGCGATATTAATGCTCAGGAAATTTGTAGAGCCGAAAAGATCAGAGAGTCTCATTAGTCGATCGTAAGAAGCAGGGAGTATCTATGGAGATGTTGAGGGTTCTGAAAAAATCTATAAACAATTTAAGATGTCAGAGAGCCTATAAAGTCAATCTCAGGGACCTGTAAGACTATATAGAGTGAAGAAGCCAGCGAGTCTCGGCAGAAGTGCGTGAATATTTATAGACAAGCTGAGTGGCTTGTGAGGCTTTGGATAAGCTGAGAGGCCAGTAAGTCTCTGTAGATGAGCAGGGAGTCGATATAGAGAACATGAGGTGCCTGTGACTCTGCAAAGATGAGATGAAGGGCCAGATAACCTACATAGTCGGAAGGTCATATAATCTTATTCGTCGATCTGATGGGATAGAGATAACATGTAGGGCCCAGTGAGTATATAAAGACTAGATGAAGGACCAGTGAGACTATATAGAGAGGAGAGGTCAGTGAGCCTCGGTATAGCGGGAATCTCTATAGACGAGTTGTGTGGCTTGTGAGGCTCTGTATAAGCTGAGAGGCCAGTAAGTCTCTGTAGATGAGCAGTGAGTCCATATAGAAAGGCTGAGGTGCCTGTGAGTCAGAGGTACCTGTGAGGGTCAGAAAACATAGTCGGAAGGTCATATAAACTTATTCGTCGATCTGATGGGATAGAGAAAACATGTAGCGCCCAGTGAGTATATAAAGACTAGATGAAGGACCAGTGAGACTATATAGAGAGGAGAGGTCAGTGAGCCTCGGTTGAATAGCGTGAATATCTATAGACGAGTTGTGTGGCTTGTGAGGCTCTGTATAAGCTGAGAGGCCAGTAAGTCTCTGTAGATGAGCAGTGAGTCCATATAGAAAGACTGAGGTGCCTGTGAGTCAGAGGTACCTGTGAGGGTCAGAGAACATAGTCGGAAGGTCATATAAACCTATTCGTCGATCTGATGGGATAGAGAAAACATGTAGCGCCCAGTGAGTATATAAAGACTAGATGAAGGACCAGTGAGACTATATAGAGAGGAGAGGTCAGTGAGCCTCGGTAGAATAGCGTGAATCTCTATAGACGAGTTGTGTGACTTGTGAGGCTCTGTATAAGCTGAGAGGCCAGTAAGTTTCTGTAGATGAGCAGTGAGTCCATATAGAGAAGCTGAGGTGCTTGTGAGTCTGCAAAGATGAGATGAAGGGTCAGAGTACCTACATAGTCGGAAGGTCATATAAACTTATTCGTCGATCAGATGGGATAGAAAGTCTCTACAGGGTCTGTAAGACTATTTAGAAAACATGTGGTTCCCAGTGAATATATTAAGACTAGATGAAGGACCAGTAGGTACACATGGACTAGCGGAGGCGCCAGTGAGCCTATTCAAAACTAATTAGCTCTAATGAGTCATTTTGGATTTCAAAGAGTAATCTTCCTCCTCGAAGTAGAAAAGATACAGGTTCGTGTTCGACGCTATCATTATATAAAAATCTCGCCGAATTTTCCGCATTTTTAGAGTAAAATACCTCCCTCGCAGAAAATTGTCCATAATTGTCTCGCCAAAATATTTGATTCTTTATTGTGTTGGAGGTTCCAATTGAACTTAGAACTGTGTTTTCTTTATATCTGGATTTATTATTTTCCTTTTTCTCTACTTTCAGGTCATCTATGTTGCCCGCAATTGCAAAGATGTCGTTGTATCCTCCTATCATTTCGCCAAAAATCTACGCCTCTGGTCTGGTGATAATATCGAAGATTTTGTTAATGATTTCATTAATGATGATATTTTATATTGTAATTATTGGACGCACATTATTGATTTTTGGAAAATGCGTAACGAAGAGAATATCTTTTTCACTACCTATGAGGAGATGAAACGCGATTTGGGTTCAGTTGTCCAACGGTTGTGCACCTTTTTGGGTAGACCCCAATTGACCGCGGAGGAATTGCCAAAGACATTGGAATATTTGTCATTCGGACAAATGAAGGGTGAGAATTTTAAGAGGTTAATTATTAGAAGGAATTTTTAAGTCTAATAAAATTATATTTCGGTTTACAGTTAATGACAAAACAAATATTACCACTGCCCTGAAGGAACAAATTACCACAGCCAAGGAAGATTTCCAGTAAGTAGTTCGATTAATTTTTTATTTGTTTATTTTTGTGTTAATACAAAATCTATTTATTTTTCAGATTTATGCGCCGTGGCATTGTTGGCTCCTTCAAGGATGAATTGACCCCGGAATTGCAGGAAAAAATTGATAACTGGTCTAAGAACTATTTGGCCCAACATGGCCTGACTGAAGAAGATATTTTTGGCAAGCTATAAATCGAATTAAATTTGACGATTTATAACAGCCACCTTAGAAGCTATTATTAACTAGTTTTAATATTTTTTAATTTTGTTGTTAAAGTATTTATAATACAGAACCTGCCTTGCCCCTTGTATCTTATAGATCTTAAATTAATATTTGTTTATATATTTTTTTAAATATTTGGAAAATAATAAAAATAAAAAGGAAATGATAAATTCGCTCAAATAAATAAAACGATTAAATATAATAAAGCCATAAGTGTAGTATTATTCTTCTACCAGATTTGCTTATTCATGCTTCTTCTTCGATTTTAATTGAATTAACAACAACAATACGGGACCATAACAAATAATAACAACAAAGAAAAGTCGCATCTATCAGTATCATTTAAGATTCCGCACACAACACATCTAAGTCAAAAATTCCCAACAAATTCGCAATGTTAAAATCTCGTTCAATTTCTGCACCTCGAGTTCTCTTCCCCTCCAAACAATATGCCACCGATGGCAAAGATATTCCATATGCGAAAAATTGGTCCGAAACGTGGTGTACTCTGTCACAAGAATTCGATATTGTTTTACCCGATATTTTGAACATGGAAATACGTTCGGATGACGTCTTTGTGGTGACCTTCATTAAATGTGGCACCACCTGGATGCAGGAAGCCGCTTGGCTGCTAATGAATAATTTGGATTTTGAGAAATCGAAAGCGATGCATGTTTGGGAAAGGAGTCCATTTTTGGAGTAAGAATTTTTGTCTGAAAATATTTTTTTCCGAATATCAAATATTATATTTTTGTATAGCAATCATGGCTTTAATGTTGGCGCCCCCAATGCCATAGAATATTGTAAGACTGCACCAAGTCCTCGAGTCATTAAAACCCACATGCCAGCCAATTTATTGCCATTGGAAATATGGAAGAAAAAAGTGAAGGTAAGAGATTGACATTGAAATGATGGTCCAGAGAAGGAGATGAAAATCTAGGGATACTACATACGATGTTAAAAGGCCAGTGAGCCTATAGAGGCTAGTTGGAGGGCCACAGAATCCGTATAAACTAACTTAGGTTTCATTAAGACCCATATGTCAGCCGATTTTTTGCCATTGTGAATATGGAAGAAAAATGTGAAGGTAGGGATTGACATTGTATAGGATTGATGATCCTGAGAGGTCCTGGGATATTATGGACGAGCTAAAGAACGAGTGATTCTATAGAACCTTCATAAAAGGCCCACATAGTCCATATAAACGATCTTAGGTGCCATTGACAAGTTGCAAGTCATGATAGTGTATATAGATAAATTGAAGGGGCACTGTATCTATTTGAAGGTGTGGATCAACAAAAGGTTAGATAAAGGGACAATGAGGCAAGTTGAAGGACCATTGAGTCCATATAAATTAGCTTCATAAGTCACTGAAGTCACTGGGTCGTTTTTTTGAAGGTGATGAGTGCCAGCTAAGGCTCCATTGGGCCTATAATGACTAATGAATCTATTTTAGGGAATTGAATGGTCACTAGGTGTTTATAGAAGGGCTTAGGGGTAGGTGTACCCGTAAATACGACCTAAGGAGGCAGACGGACTATAGAAGCGATCTAAAAGTCAGTGAGTCTATAAAGGTCAGTTGAGTGAAGAGCTGAATGTAAGGGACATCTGTAGGGACTGATAGCCACAGTTTTTATTTTAACGAACGAAGGATGATCATTGAACTTATAAGTGGAACTGAAAGACTAATGCATCAATTTTAGCGAATAGAAAGTTCAGTGAGTCTTTATAGAAGGGCTCAGGAGTAGGTGTATGAATAAATACGACCTGAGGAGTCAGAGGTCTATAAATTCGATCTGAAAGCCATTATGTGGAGAGCTGAGTGCCATAAAAGAGATGTAGAGTCTGATGGTCTTTATAAAGAAGCAGAAGAGTCACTGAGTATATTGGAAGATAGTGGGTCTCTAAAGACGCGCTAAGATGCCATCAGGTCTACAAAGACCAAATGAAGCCGCATTGAATCTATATTGTTAAACTGCAGTCAGTGAGTCTTTACATACCTTCTGAGGGGAAGGTGAATCTATAAATACTAGCTGAGTAGCCAGAGGATTTATACAGACGATCAGAAAACCATAGAGCACATAAAGAGCTAGTGTATCCAAATACGTAGCCGAAGGAACAGTAGAGAACTGAAGAGTTAGTGAGTTCATATAGTCAAGCTAAGACGTCCTATAGAAGTTTCCTGGTCTTCAAATCATTTTATACAGACGTCAGGTGATCTATAGAGACTCTGTAGCACTTCAGATCGTCTAAAGAGTTATTTAGGCACTCAAATGCCTCAGTTTGTCTCTAGAGGACTAATAGACCTTCAGTTTATCGATCGTGTCATCCAGATATATAAAATACACCGTATGACATTCAATTATTCACAACATGGCCCCCTATATAGGATGTTCGGCATTTCAGCCTGCCTGAAGAAACTGCTGGATGATCAGTTCCTCTATAGACACTTTTTGGTCTTCAGAGCATTTTTTGAGATTTCCTAGCTCTTCAGTACGTCTACAGATAATATCTAGCCCTGAAAGTAGATGTACTCTCACCCTTCAGCTCATATTTAGGTACCTCACTTGTTTGCCGATAGAGTCAACCTCTTCAGTTCGTCTGTAGATAATATATAGCCCTTAAGATCTCAGGTGGACGGACTCTGACCCCTCAGCTCGTATTTAGAGACGTCATAGTCACTCAGTTGGTCTGCAGAGACTTCCTAGTGTCCGAGCTCGTATGTAGAGATACTTTTTGCCTACAGTTTGTCGATGGAGACTCCCTTGTCTTTCACCTGTTTATTGAGACTTCGTAGTTCTTCAGATTGTCTGCAGATACGCTCTAGCAATTCAATTTGTTTGTAGAAACTTCTGAGTCCTACCGCTTCCTCCTTCAACTCTTCTATAGGTAAATTGTCCCTGCGATCTGTCTGTGGAGACGACTTAACACATTATTTTATCTGTAAAGACTTCTTCAACCCTGTGTTGGTACATATAAACTTTTCAGTCTATCTGGTAATCGATAGAGACTTCTTCGGATTTCATCAATTGATTGAGACTAACTGGTGTTTTACTTCTTCCATATCCTTATCTGTACTTATGCTCGTTTGTAGAGATTCTATGGTACTACAGCACTTTTGGTTTTCGGCTATCTTTTAAGACACCCTGGTCATCGATAGAAGGTTGTTCATTCCTGACATATTTATTGGGGACCTCCTGACCCCTGACTTCTTTTATAAAGATTCTTCCATATTGCAGTTTCTCAAAGAGGGCTCTACGGACGAGTTGAAGGACCTTCGAACAAATTGATGTCCCAAAAATCCCATATAGATGATATGAAGGACAATGGAATTCTTGTAGAGGAACTGTAGGACAACGATGTAAATATTGACAAGATGTATGTTTTTCTGACGAGCGTATGTGCCAAAAAGTCATATTTATGGACATCATCTTTATGGACATTTAATTCTCTTGTAGAGGTCCCTGGCCATATAACTCGTCCATGTAAACACCTGGACCCTTCAGCTTCTTTATAAAAAAGTCTTGAAAAACATCCAAGAGCTTGTCTATAAAGAAGTCTGAGTAGATTTTCAGGACTGAATTTTGTCTACGTGAATTACGTAGACCTTCATTCGAGTTCTTTTGCTATTTAACCCTTCTACTAGGTTCTATATACCCTCACTGGTTCTTAACTTCGAGGATTTTCTTAGCCATTGACGATTCTAGTATTTAATAATATCCTCCCCCAGATAATTTATGTGGCCCGAAACTGCAAGGATGTCATTGTTTCCGCCTATCATTTCACCAAAAATTTGGGCTCTTGGAATGGTGAAAATTTAGAAGAATTCGCCAATGATTTTATGAATAATGAAATTATGTACACCAGCTTTTGGTCACATATTGTGGATTTTTGGAAAATGCGCAACGAGCCGTTTATGTTTTTCACAACCTATGAAGAGATGAAAAGAGATCTACCAGGAGTTTTACAAAAATTGTGTGGATTTTTGCAGAGGCCTCAGTTAAGTTCTGGCGAAATGGAGAAGATGTTAAAACACTTGTCTTTTGAGAATATGAAAGGTACATTTTGGAATTTTAATAAAAATGCTCAGATATTAATTTTTAAAAAAAATGTTCCAGGCAATGATCAAACCAACATAACCGCCCTGATGAGGAAACAGGTGCCAACGATTAGTGATGATTTTCAGTATGTTGGGATTTTTAGATTTTCATTGTGGAGAATATAATTTTTTATATCGATTATTTTCAGATTTATGCGTCGTGGCATTGTGGGTTCTTACAGAGATGAATTGTCGCCTGAGCTCCAAAGGAAGATTGATAATTGGTCCTGCAATGTTTTGGCCCATCATGGCCTTAAGGAGGAGGATATTTTTGGGAAGCTCTAAAAGTGATTTTTTAATGTATTTTTATTATTTATAATAAATAAGTACAGTCATCTATTTATGGAAAATTTATTTCCGATTCAGTAGAATTTCCGAGATAAGATTTTCATTTCGTATTTATATCGAAAAATGGATTCTAATTTAAAATAGAACTTAAGTATCATGCTCAGATAGAACATCATAGATAAGCCCAAGTGGAACTTTTATTAAAAGAAAAATACAAATATATTCTATATTGAAGGCTATGCAATTCTTTAGGGTCGCTAGATTATAAATAGACGGAATTCCACTTCATATCTTAATAGACAATTGTAAACATAAACTACTTTGTAGTTAACAAAATAATCTTGAGCTCAAACAAAATAATAATCGGCAAATGACTATCTTATCCACTACAATATAAGACACATGTTTGACCAAAATTCTGGCTTATCAATAATGGGCAAATGAATGGTGGTGGTGGTGGCGGTGGTCTTATCACTAATGGCTAATATTTTGCTTGTCATTGGAAGATGCAATAAGTTCCGTACTAAGTTTGGCAGTACTCAAAGAGACCTAGAGCAGAATACACAGAACTTGATTCATTAAAGAAATAAAAAATTAAATTTCCCACCATGTTCAAATCCCGCGAAATAACCCGTAAAACTTCTCGCGAACGCTGTGCCTATGTTATGAAAGAATATGCCGCTGAAGATCCTAACATCCCGCTAAAGAAAAATTGGCTTGAATCCTGGTGTACATTGCCACAATCTTTTGATACGGTGCTCAACGAACTGCTACCTTTTGAGGTGCGTCAGGATGATGTCTTTGTTTGTACCTATATTAAATGTGGCACCACCTGGATGCAAGAGACTGCTTGGTTGCTGCTGAATAATTTGGACTTTGAAGGAAGTAAGAAATTGGATCAAACCAAGAGATCACCATTTTTGGAGTAAGGTCTTCATTTTTTTTTGGTGTTGGATTTTTTATTTATGGTGCCACTTTTTCCAGTTATCATGGCTTGGCCCCTCATGTACCCAGTCTGATTGAGTACAGTAAAACTTTGGCCAGTCCTCGTTTGCTAAAGACCCACATGCCCGCGAATTTAGTGCCTCAACAAATTTGGCAAAAAAAGATTAAGGTAAGGATTGATCGAAACCTTTTAACAACTTTTCTGCAGATTGAGGGCCTGAGATTGACTACTGTAAAAACATTGCTGTAGTTGTAGTCGGTTTGATAACGATTCTTCGATATACCAATGGCCCTATACACATCCTCCTCTATTGTAAGCCATTTAGTTTGTTGGACGATACTCTACAGTCTTCAGATGTCCTATACAGATCTGTAGAAACTCCCTAGATTCGGAGGGCCTCCAAATGTTGTTTAGTTCGACAAAAGTGATTCTCTTACCTATTGAGACTTCGTAGCCCTTCAGTTTGACTGTAGAGATCTACTGGCTATTCTGTTTGCCTGTATAAATATTTTTTATTATCTATTCTCGGAACCCTTGGCCCTTAATCTAATCTATA